ACGGCCCCAGGGCCTCGGAAAGGCCTCCCTCCTCAGGCCCTCCCTGCGGGAAAGGATGAAGTGGAGATTGGCCGCCCCACTGGCCCCCGTTTCTTATTTATTTACTTATTTATTTTTATTTTTATTTATTTTTATTTTTTATTTTTTGAGATGGAGTCTCGCTCTGTCACCCAGGCTGGAATACAGTGGCGTGATCTCAGCTCACTGCAAGCTCTGCCTCCCATGTTCACGCCATTCTGCCTCAGCCTCCTGAGTGGCTGGGGCTACAGGCGCCCGCCACCACGCCTGGCTAATTGTTTTGTATTTTTAATAGAGATGGGGTTTCACTGTGTTAGCCAGGATGGTCTCGATCTCCTGACCTTGTGATCCACCTGCCTCGGCCTCCCAAAGTGCCGGGATTACAGGCGCGAGCCACCCACCCCGGGCCGGCCGGGTTGCTGACCATTCAGTGATTTCCCAGCATCTCTGCAGAGGGAGCCGCAGGCCCAGCGTTCTCAGAAAAACCTGATGAGCCTGGCTGCCTCTGGCTATGCTTTCCCCCACTCTCCTGCTCTCTCAACGAGCGCTTGCCTTTCTCTCCCGGGCAGCCTCCCAGGCCTTACTGGTTCTCTTTCGTTCCTCTTTGTCATGGGGGTGGAACAGCCCTGAATCCCGGAACCACTGCCCTGACCCCCACGGACCCCACAGCAGCCCTTGTGGCCGAGAGCGTGCCCTGAGTGCCCAGTGCCTGAACCGGATCGGGGAGCCCACAGGGTCAGGAAGCCCCCAGGCCTCAGGTGAATGCTTCTGGGGCCAGGAAAGTAACCAGACAGACTGAATCCATACATGCCGAGCATCCAGGCCAGAGGAGGGCAGGGAGCTCTAGGCAGCGCTCCCACCCAGGACCCCAGCGTTCCTCCGTCTTGTTGATTTCTCCCTCAGGCAGCCCAAAACACACATTCAGGGTGGGGAGGGTGGGGCTGCAGTGGCAGACCAGAGGAAGGAGACTTGGAGTCGCTTAGCGAAGGTAAATGAGCATCCGTGGTGCAGCTTGGGGTCTTGGAGAGTAAGTTGAACCTACCAGGTGTCTGTTTCCCCCGACACATGCACAGACCAGGCAAGGACCTGGAAGGCAGGAGGCTGCCAGGCAAAGCGCCCACCGGTCACTTGGTACCGTGAGCTACGCATGTGAGTGACGTGCACCCTGACTGCTGGCTCTTCCCTTAGCGCTTACACGTCATTGAGTGATAAATAAAAGGTCCTGAATGGACCGTCTGAAATTTTTAAGTCATCCCTTTTTCTTCCTTTCTTCCTTTTTTTAAAAAAATAAAAACAAAAACAAAAAACTTTCTATGAAATCGCCCAGTGCTTTGGTTTAATCCCCAGAGGACTGGTTTCCCTAAGAGGAGCCCACCTAAGTCACCGAGAACTCTAAAACCGCTAAACCAGGCCACGGGGCCCGCATTCAACAGGGAAGCACTTTGCACCCAGTAAAATACAACTGAAAAAATGCGGGGCTTGGTCCTCCCCACTCCCCAGTATCTAGTCCCAGCCCGCCCACGACCCCCATCTCCTCCCCTGAGACACTGCCTAGGCAGCCGGGGGCCTCCTATGGAAGCCTGAGCAGCTGTCTTCCTTGCCCTTCCCTCTGTGCTGTGGTGCGTGTTCTTTACCTGGAGGCCTGTAAGGTGTTGTGAGCTGTGCTGATCTTGCGACAAACACTCGGTGACCTTGAATGAGTCACTCATTTCTGGACCTCGGCTTCTTTCAGCATAGCATGGGCTGGAATAATGTCCTCCAGCTTCCTAGCTTATGGGTGGACCCATTCATGCATCAGTCACACAGATAAATATTGCACGGCCTCGCTGGGCGCGGCAGCTCACGCCTGTAATCCCAGCACTTTGGGAAGCCGAGGCAGGTGAATCACGAGGTCAGGAGATCGAGAGCATCCTGGCTAACACGGTGAATCCCCATCTCTACTAAAAATACAAAAAATCAGCTGGACGTGGTGGCGGGCGCCTGTAGTCCCAGCTACTCGGGAGGCTGAGGCAGGAGAATGGCATGAGCGGCAGAGCTTGCAGTGAACTGAGATCACGCCACTGCACTCCAGCCTGGGCGACAGAGCAAGACTACGTCTCAAAAAAAAAAAAAAAAAAATTATTGCATGGCCCCTCTCCACTGCACACTGTGCCGGGGCCAGAGCTTTCGAGCCGACTTGAGTGAGATACCCTGAGATCCCCAGATCCTGAAGTTAATTCTCTTTTTGCCCATTAGGATTGGATGGCTCCAATCTCAGCATTCTGCCCCGGGTCCCTTCCCTCTTCACGGACGCGATGGAGGGAGGCAGTTGCCATGGTGCCATGGGCCCTGACGGGGCATAGGGAGGCCTCAGTCCTGTCTGACTCAAGAGCTAGTCCAGCCCCAGGTTTGCCTAGACCCTTCCCTTCTCCGAGATGGGTGTTCTGTGGAACCTTAATCTATCCACCTAACTCTTGTTTTCTGTGTCTCTGAAGTGAGGATTGGAGAGTTTCGATGGCTACTCCCAGTGCTGAGAACTGGTTCACTTTGGTGCCAGGGGACTTGCCCCCTTCGCCTCTAGCTGTGCCAGCTACACAGTCTTTTCCTAATGGCACCGCCCTGTGCTTTTGCCGACTTCGGGGCTGTTCATTATGTACGCTGGTCTCCAGCTCATTCTCTACCAAATGTTTTTGGCCCGTCATTCTACACTTCATTTTACTGTTTCTTTTTTTAATTGAGGTGAAATTCACCTCATGTAAAATTAACCATGTTAAAGAGTACCGTTCACAACTCAGTAGATTCCCAGTGCCATGCAACCACCACATCTGTCTAGTTCCAAAACGTCTTTATCACGCCACGAAGAGACCCCACACCCAATAGCAGTCACTTCCCATCCTCTCCTCTCCCCATCCCCTGGCAACCATCAACCTGCATTCTGTCTCAATGGATTGAAAGATCCTGGACATTTCATCAAATGGAATCGTGCGGTGCGGGGACTTCGGGTCAGGCTTCCTTCACTTTGCATCCATCATGTTTTGAGATTCGTCCATCTGGTAGCAGGTGTGGGGGCTTTGTTCCTTTCTATGGCTGAATCCTGCTCCATGGTGCAGAGAGTCCTTTGGTTTATCCACTCAGTGCTGGGCGTTTGCCTTGTTCACGGCTTTGGCTGTTGTGACTGGTGCGCTAGGAGCATGTGCCTGCAGGTATCTGTTAAGACACCTGTTGTCTGTTCTCTTGGGTCAATGCCTGGGGACAGAGTTGCTGGCTCATGCGGTGACTCTGTGTGTAACTTTTGGAGGAGCCCCTGACCGTGTGGATGTTTTCAGCTGAGAGCACTGAGAGTTTTGCGCTTTGCCTTTCAAGTTCTCTAGGAAGCAGGCCACCAGCACGCCTGCTTACACAGTCTCCTCTGCATCCATATCTCCAGTTGACCAAGGTCGTTTTGAATTCCCCTGCCACCCTCCCAAGACTTGGCCACCTGCCAACTTGGTTTCCTCTGCACACTTAGTGAGCACGTTTCCTATCCTGTCATTTAAGCCGCTTACGAAGCGTTAAATGCACCAGGCCCCAGGCCGATCCCGCTCCAGCAGCCAGTTTGTCCTGACATGCTCTCCATGCTTGCAGCTGGCCTTCTCTGTGTCCCTTTGGGTCCCCAGAGCCACAGGCCACACGAGACCAGAGTGTGCTTGTGATGGGGTGCAGAGATCTCCGAAGAAGAGCTCCAGGGCTCTCCTGGTGGGTACGAGGCCATGGCTGTCTCCCCTGTGACTCCCTGGCACAGCTTGTGTGGCACCGTCAAGGGTGGAGAGAGGGACACGGTCAGCTTGGTGCAGCAGTAGAAGCGGCACTGGCACTTCGGTTTCTTAAAAGCACAAGGATGAGGCCCGGGCGTGGGGCTCACGCCTGTAATCCCAACACTCTGGGAGGCCAAGCGTGGATCAGGAGGTCACGAGATGGAGACCATCCTGGCTAACACGGTGAAACCCCGTCTCTACTAAAAATACAAAAATTAGCTGGGCATGGTGGCGGGCGCCTGTAGTCCCAGCTACTCAGGTGGCTGAGGCAGGAGAATGGCGTGAACCCGGGAGGCAGAACTTGCGTGAGCTGAGATCGCACCCACTGCACTCCAGCCTGGGCGACAGAGCGAGACTCCGTCTCAAAAAAAAAAAACAGCACAAGGATGATGCGAGGTGGGCTCGGGGTCAGATTAGGGGAAATGGAATGCTAGCCGAGCAGGCTGATGTGTGGAGCCCTCCCAGACAGGAGTAAAATTAGACGGGGCAGACCACGGGCGGAGCAAAGACTTGGGAGAGGCAGAAGCTGGGAACTTGCAGGCAACCCTGCAGGCATCACCAGCAGACCTGGAAAAGGCGAGTCTCGTTGAAGGAAGTGGCTCTTCCCTCATCCGCCGCTGCCAGGAGGGCAGTTTCTTTAAATCTCTAGGGACTGGGCCTGCCGGTCTGGCTTCCAGGCGCAGAAGGCCTCATCTTCCCCTGCCTAAGGACCTTCCTTATGCCGTGGGCCAGCAATGGCGTCTGTTGGTGTGTAGTTGGGGTAGAACTGGACCCCCAGCCTGTGCCCACAGTTCTGTCACTGTTCACCATGGTCCTGGCCAAGTCTTCCTCTCCAGGCTCTCTCTGAGCCCTCACTTGTCAAAGAGAGGAAGGATGAGATGGTATGGACGGTCCCCTCCATCACTGATGGCCTCCAAGTCCTCAGAGGTTTGTTCCCAGGGGTTTCACCCTTTGGGTCCAGTCCTTCTGCGGCCCAGTTCTTGACTGTGAACTTTTGACTAAAACTCACCCAGACTTGATGTTGGGCGTAGCAAGAGCCTGTATCTCCAAGGCATGAGAGCGGATTGTGCAGGACTCAACTCATCCCAGGTGTGGGGACACCTTGCAGCCCTGCCCAGCTCACTAGGTACCAGCAGGTGCACAAGGTCTACAGGGCAGCCTGAGTCCCTAAGGCACGTCCAGCCTATCTCAGTGTCTCACTCTGCACAGGTGGGAGCTATCGGCGATGAGGAGGAGTGGGTCACCCTCTATGAAGAGGAGAATGAGCCTGATGCCCAGACGCTGGAGATCCCAAACCTCACGCCCTACACTCACTACAGGTGAGAACAGCAGTAATAAGCTGTTACAGGAGGAAACGCTGGCAGCCCAGGCAGGTGGCTTCTGTTGGCAATAGTAAAACCCAGTCATATGCATGCAAATGAGATGTTTCCAAGTGGCAATAACAGTACATCAAAGCCTTAAGGAGCAGGCAGGATGCATAGCTGGGTGTTATTCCAAGGGAAATGATAGGCAGATGTTAGACTCATGAGGCTCCTTCTATCAGTACCAGCTGGCAAAACACCCCATAGAAATGGCCCACTATTATATTAGGCTGAACAGCCAAGAACCACACGCAGCAGAGACGTGGCACTTTACCAAACTCCACAACCTCTTGGGACTATTAACATGCCTTGTGCAAACAAAGCAGACGTCCTTGGAAGATTCTTCTGCTCCCTTTCCCAGGCAGGGCCCAGGAGCTGCTAGTCTCACTCATCAAGCAATTAACATACCATTTAACCTTTAGCTTCTTGATCCCTGAAACTGATCTGGGCAATAAATCCCTGGCCTTAACAAAGGGTAGGGTGATCATGAACTGTTAGTGCTGTGATCACTTCCCGTAAGGCCTTGGAAGGAGATGGAATTTCCAGTTATCACCAGATGTTGAGTCTGATAATGTCATTGTTCTGCCAGGATGGATACATTTCATACAATTGGAGAATGAAAGAGTAGGAATTACTAATTCAGGGACTAAAAGGTGGAATTACATCCTTGTGAAGAATTTTTCTTTCCAGAACAAAACCAAAGTTAGAGTTTAAAAAAAAACAGCCTAATGAGAGATGCTGTTTATCTTGTATTCATTTTAACATCCTTCAGAAGCTTACAACAGACAAATCAAGACACAATACACAGTTTTTTTAAAGAAAAACATTTAGCTTAAAATGAGCTGTTGGGATTCAAGACTTACTGTGTGAAATTAACTGAAGCTATATAATGATTTAAAAGATCAGAAACTGTAAGTAGAGATCAGTGTCCCTGTCTGAAACTCAGGTACATTTGGGGAACCTCTATAGCAAATGCGTATGTGCACACTTGGGATTTTTTTTATTGTATGTAAATTGAATTCAAATAATTGTTTATGTATGGATAAAGAAGAGACTGAACTGAAAGCACTCCTGTAGATTTTAGAGAACATCGAACTCCACCCTCATTTTATAGTCAAGGAAACGGAGATCGCCAGATTTGCTGAAGATCTCACAGTTCCTCATTGGATTGGAATCACAGAGTGCGGTGTGAAGCCTGAAACTTTGATAGAGGCCTCAGTTAACTTAGAAAGTTTGTTCTGCCAAGGTTGAGGACGCGCCCGTGACCCAGCCTCAGGAGATCCTGACAACATGTGCCCAAGGAGATCAGGGCACAGCTTGCTTTTATACATTTTAGGGAGATGTGAGACATCAATCAATATAGGCAAGAAGTGCATTGGTTCAGTCTGGAAAGGTGGGACAGCTTGAAGCAAAGGCAGGAGGACTACAAGCAGGGGAGGGGGCTTGCAGGTCACAGATAGGTGAGAGACAAAGGGTCACATTCTTCTGAGTTTCTGATGAGCATTTCCAAAGGAGGCCGTCAGATCTGCATCTATCTCAATGACCAGAGGGATGACTTTGAAGAGAATAAGAAGCAGGTTTGCCCCAGGCAGTTTCCAGCTTGCTTTTCCTTTTAGCTTAGTGATTTGGGGTTCAAGACATTTTCCTTTCACCCCTCGTTCTTCTCCTGAACCAACAGAAAAAGAGGTTCAGGGTGCCGTTTGGGTCATTTAAAAGGCTAGACTTCAAAACTGCCATTTGCTAGTAACATCTTGACATTCTAATTCGGTCCCATAGCTACTTGCACCTTAACTCCTTGAGGTTTTCCTAAACTTGAATCAGGGCAACTAATAACATTGATTTCTGGACACCCAATCCATCCAACTACATTTCACTTGGAAACTTAAAATTTTAAAATTGTTGAGTTGCAATTGATGTACCTGTACCTTTCTTTGAAGGCTTCTAGGGGGAAAAGGCCACATATGCAATTTGCTTTTTTTTTTTTTTTTTTTTTTTGAGGCAGAGTGTCGCTCTGTCACCCAGGCTGGAGTGCAGTGGCATGATCTTGGTTCACTGCAACCTCTCCTTTCCCGGTTCAAGCGATTCTCCTGCGTCAGCCTCTTGAGTAGCTGTGATTACAGGTGCCCGCCACCATGCCCGGCTAATTTTGGTATTTTTAATAGAGACGAGATTTTGCCATTTTGGCCAGGCTGATCTGGAACTCTTGACCTCAGGTGATCCCCCGCCACCTCCCACCTTGGCCTCCGTAAGTGCTAGGATTACAAGTGTAAGCCACTGCACCTGGCCACAGTTTGCAGTTTTAATGAAACCAGGTGAAAGGAGGGTGTCCTTGAGCAATAGCCTTTATGTATGGGTAGACACCTATCTGAGCCCTCCCTTGAGAAACGGTCAGGGCCTTTGTGGTTTCATTCTTTTCCTTCTTACTTTTGCTTGGCCGTAAGTCTCATCAGTGGTTTTGCCTTTAGATTTCGAATGAAGCAAGTGAACATTGTCGGGCCGAGCCCCTACAGTCAGTCTTCCCGGGTCATCCAGACCCTGCAGGCCCCACCCGATGTGGCTCCAACCAGCGTCACGGTCCGGACTGCCAGTGAGACCAGCCTGCGGCTTCGCTGGGTGGTGAGTGGGGGTGAGAAGGGAGGCCGGAGGCACACGGGTCCTGGATTAGCCATGGCACACATTAATCCAGGGCTTAGGAGTTTCTTGGTCACGCCTTTGTCCTAGTCAAAACTAATCTCATCGTCAAACCAAAAAGTATTGCATTTTACAATTAGTGTTGGATCTTAGGCCAGCCCAGGAGATCTGATTAATTAGTAGCATTACTCACTCTCTTCTTGGAACTGAGGAATATTCCTTGGGGCAGGAAAGCTGGTGGTGCCTCACGCCGGATCTCTAAGTCCTTAAGCTAGGTCAACATGGAACCAATACTCAGTATTTGTAAGAGAGCCAGCCTGATATTTAATCAGAACATTTGCCCACAAAATTAAGCCAAAATGTATTAAAAGAAATTATATGCAGCCAAAGTTACTGACATGGTTTCATTTAATTCACAGAAGAAAAGTTTCAGGGAAAAATAAAGTAGATGCTTCTAAGACTGTTTCTCCCAGGAATGCCTCCTCCACGGAGTTGGCCTCACAGGACAGGCCCGTCCCTTAAGACCTGTGAGGGTGGCAGTTCTGAGATGTCAACTCATCACAGCCCCTTGTTCCTTCCTAGCCCCTGCCAGATTCTCAGTACAACGGGAACCCTGAGTCCGTGGGCTACAGAATTAAGTACTGGCGCTCAGACCTCCAGTCTTCAGCACTGGCCCAAGTCGTCAGTGACCGGCTGGAGAGGGAATTCACCATCGAGGAGCTGGAGGAATGGATGGAATACGAGCTCCAGATGCAGGCCTTCAACGCCGTCGGGGCCGGGCCGTGGAGCGAGGTGGTGCGGGGCCGGACGCGTGAGTCAGGTAAGGGGAAGGCGATTCCCGTCCTGCAGACACCACATTAGAGATGGGGCTGAGGGCCCCTGAGCCTCCAGATCCCAGGCTAGTGGTGTCTCATTGGCCTGTCCCACTTGTGTCTGTCTTGGAGCTTTCCTAATCCTGTGTTAGGCCAGACTGGGCAGGAATTTCCACCTGATTTCATTAGGGCCCCAAGCCATTCATTGGAAACTGGTGATGATTTCCAACAGGGGCTCAACTCACATTACTATTTTCTAAATGAGGGATAATTTTCACTACCAATGATGAAAAGCAAGAATGTGTAAAGATCCTATGGGGAATCTTTAAAATACAAGGTATTCAGGACCTTCTTGTCACAAATTAATAGAGGTAGTAGATTAAGTAATCTAGCCTGTGGTAATAAATAGACCTCCAAAAGTTTAATTGCTTGGACATAATAGGAGTTTATTTCTCACTCATATTGTGGTCTAAGGTGGGTGTTTCTATTTGGCGGGTCACTCTTTTCCATGAGGTGATTCAGGGACCCAGGCTCTACTGTTCTGTGGGAATAATCTCCATCTGCACCCAGCTGCCAACAGGGAAAAGAAGGCAAAGAATGGGTCTCTTCAAACCTGTTCAGGAGTGGAACGTCACTCTGTTCGTCTCAATCATGGGGCTCTGCCAGTTGCCAGGAAGAAATGGAGACGTGTTTTTGGCCGACCTTCAGTAGACCTCTGCTGCACTGTGCTAATGCTGAAAGTAGCCGCCTAATCTTCTAGGCTTTGCGGACTAACTTCCACCAGCCAACGGTGGGTCAGAGGAGCTTTTCTTGCCCCCCTTGAATTTTTAGAAACCCAAGGGAAGGATGACAATTAACACTCATGAAGGACTCACCGTCACCTGACCCCAGTCCCTTCAGTCTGATCTGAATTAGTGAGGTTCTGTCTGAAGAAGGAATGAACCAGCTGCATCTCTGCCCCACGCTTCTTGGATGAGAGTCACAGCATGTGCTTGATTGCGGAGGGGCTGTTCATTCTGGACTAACCTAGGCTGTTAGAAATATGACTTAAAGTCCTGACTTTGTCCAGACATGGGATGAAGAGGCGGTATGAAGGGTTGAGATGATGAACTGGGTCGGTGGCCAGAGGAAAAGGAAATATGACTTAAATTACAAATATGACTTAAATTCCTGACTTTGTCCAGACATGGGATGAAGAGGAGGTATGAAGGGTTGAGATGGTGAACTGGGTCGGTGGCCAGAGGAAAAGGACAAGACTCCCCCACTTCTTCCCCCAGGGAGCCTAGATCCATTTTGCTTATTGATTCAAACCCTCTTATTCACTCTCTTTTCCTTCTCTTCTCTGACTCTCTGCATTAATGAGAATATTCGGTTCCATTGTTTTTGCTGTCATAGACATGGCTGTTTCCTGGAGACAGCTCCTGAGCCCAGCTCCTTTCCTTGGCGCTCCGAGGGGACAGAATCGCCTTAAAGCTGGGGAGTCAAGAGGTGGCCAGGGCCTGCCTACAGCTGTTTCCACCCCCACAGTCCTCGGAAATGCCCTGGGGCCTACCCTGTCCCCCACCCAGAGCCTCCCTTCTTCTGTCCTTGTGCTACAACGCCGTGTAAAGAGACAGTCCCCGTGCTGTTGTTTTCAATAGAAAAATTAATTAACTTGCTAGATGCTGGAAACTGCCACAGGAGACACAGTTGGAACTCAGAGTGACTTTGATGGGAAATGGACAGAAAGATGAGCTAGGAAGCCAAGTGCATGTTGGGTATCAGAGAAAAACCTCGCACGGTCAACGGGGGGAGGCGGAGGACACGGGGGCACAGGGCCTGTTGACATGGCTGGAGGCGGCTATGGCGGGGGGGGCCGCCATCCTCAGGATGGAGGAGTTTAAAAGGGAGGAAAGCGTAGACACTTGGGGGGCCCAGGGCTCCCGGGCCTGGCCTGTTTGCTCCAAAGATGAAGAGGGAAACGGAAGGTGGTGCCGAGGTGGGAGGGCGGCCTCTGAGGACGGCTGGAGGGAGGATGCAGATCAGCTCACAGCAATAAGGAAAGGGGCCCTGGAGCCCCAGGCAGTGTCAGCCCCTCACCTCTTCCTGATCTTATCCATGCCAGGTGCTGGGATGGGTGCAGGTGTGCCCAACACCACCCTTCTACCCTCGAGGGGGCCAGGCTGGGGTGAGGAGTCTGTACCCTGGGCTTGGGCCCAGCAGCACCTGGCACACCAAGGGCACCAGCATATGCCCAGTGTATCTGCAGGTGCCACCCGCTCTGTGTGCCATGGCATGGAAGGGCCTGGGAAGCTCTGGATAAAGGCTCCTCTCATCCTTTCTTGTTCATTCCCCAGTTCCCACCAGTGACAGGTCTGAACCTGCTGCCGCCCTTGTAGGTTTTGCTGTAATGCACACTGGTTTGCATCGCACACAACCCCCTGGGTTTCCTCAACGCTGGTCCACTGTCAGTCACCAGCGGCAAGCAAAAGCTCCTGTGCCACTTTGTGGCTTTATTTCTTCCTACTCTTCTCGGAGTGCAGGAGGTGAGGGTAGACGGGAGGACTCTTAAGCAGTAGCAGGGAGAAGCGGAACCATGGCCGAGTGGGAATGCTCTCAGGGTGTGGCGTGAACCCTGGAGCCCACCAATGAGAGCCCTGGAAGAGCAGCCATGGTGATAACCAGTATGCTTTTGAGAGGACCAGTGTTTCAGGAGGGAACTGCCCAAGCAGTAGGGTTGGGCCCGGTGTCCCTTGGCTCTCCTTCAGACTGCAGCTTTCATTACGTTCCAAAGGAAAGGTGGAGACGCACCAACACACAGCCTAGGATTGTGGTCACGTGGATTTCGAAAACTTCTATTATCTTCACTATATGAATCTTTGTGACAAAGAAGAGAACTTGAGAAGTTCAGAGGGACAGTTCTAAATCCAGGAAAAGGCAGGCCAAGAAAATATTTTTTCAAAATTAAAACTTCTGCTATAACCAACAAAAAATTATAGATAAAATATAACTTTCTGAAATCTTAAATGTATTGGCCAGACACAGTAACCCACACCTATAATCCCAGCACTTTGGGAAGCTGAGTCTGGAGGATCGCTGGAGTCCAGGAGTTCAGTCTAGGCAACATAGTGAGACCCCATCTTTACAAAAAATACAAAAATTAGCCAGGTGTGGTGACATACACCTGTAGTCATAGCTACTTGGGAGGCTGAGGTGGGAAGATGGCTTGGGCCTGGGAGTTTGAGGCTGCAGTGAGCTGTGATTGTGCCACACTCCAGCCTGGCCAACAGAGTGGGACTGTGCCTCAAAAAAATAAGTAAATAAATAAATTCATCAATGCATTCGAAAGAAAAACAGGGAAATCCTCAGGTGTCAGAGGCGTAACAGGAACCAGGAAGAGTTCAGCAGGAAGTGTTGGGCTGGTGCCGCAGCTGTCCTGGGTGGGGTGGGGATTGGGCTGGACCTTTCCTGGTGGTTTCAGGACCTAGGATTTGACGAACTTGCAGGAACAAGAGAGTCAGCTTTGAATCTGTGTAAGGGGAGAGTTAGGGCCTAAACTCCTGCACTTGAGACACAGCTCTTAAAGGCCTTACCCTCCTTCCTAGGAGGGGCTGAAACTCTGCCTGCAGAGGTTTGACTGTGTGTCTACCTGGACTCTGAGTAGAGAATGAAAAGTCAGTCTGTGTCCTGTGCCCCACTCAGGACTGGGTTTTGAATTTGTATTATATGAATGGCCTGGGAACTCCCAGAACAGAAATTAATGTAACATTTGGTTCCAGAAACCAAAAGCACAAGCAACTAAAGAAAAAGTAGATACATTAGACCTCATCAGAATGAAAACCTTTATGCTTCAAAGAATGTCATAAAGGAAATGAAAAAAACTCCCCAAATGGAAGAAAATATTTGCAAATTATGTATCTCATGAGGGATTTATGTCCAGAATATATAAAGACCTCTTACAACTTCACAACAAAAAGACAAATGACCCAATTAAAAACTGGGCAAAGGATCGGCATAGACATTTCTCCCAAGGAGATTTACAAATGGCCAGCAAGCACATGAAAAGATGCTCAACATCGTGAACTGTTAGGGAAATGCAAATGTAAGTTGTAACGAGATATCACTTCACACTCTAAAATAAGATGGCTAAAATAAGAAAAGCTGGACAATAACAGGTATTGGTGGGCACGGAGAAACTGGAACCCTTGTACGTTGCTGGTAGGAATATTAAATTATTCAGAAACATTGGAAAACAGTTGGCATTCCTCAAAGGGTTGAGCAGGGAGTCACCATGCGACAAAGCAACTCTACTCCTAGGTATGTACCCAAGAGAACAGAAAACATGTGTCTACACAAAATCTTGCACATAAATTGTTCATAGCAACTTTATTCACAGTAGCCAAAAAGTGGAAACAACCAAAATATCCCTCAGTGGACAAATGGATAAATAAAATGTGGTCTGTGCATTCAGTGGATGATTCAGCAATAAAAAGGAATGGAATTCTGATACATGCTACAGTGTGGAGGAACCTTGAAAACATTAGGCTAAGTGAAAGAGACCAGACACAAGAGACCACATATTGTATGATTCTATTTGTAGGAAACGTCTAGAACAGGCAAATCTAGAGAGGCAGAAAGTAAATTCATGGTTTCCTAGACTAGGGGACAGCATTTGAGAGGAATGAGAAATGATTGATGATGAAAACAGAGCTGCTTTGGGGGATAATGAGATGTTCCAAAGTTCATTGTGATGATGGTTATGCAACTCTGAATTCACTAAAAAAAAGTTGAATTGTACAATTTAGGGGAATGTATGATATATTAATCATCTCACAATAAGGCTTTCAAAAAAAAAAAACCTCAGCCTTCCTGAGATTAATTTTATACAGATAAAATGTTATTAAAATAAGTATAGGCTGGGGGCTGTGATTCATACCTGTAATCCCAACACTTTGGGAGGTGGAGGCAGGAGGGTTACCAGGAGCTTGATACCAGCCTGGGCAACATAGTGAGACCCCATCTCTACAAA